CAGTTTCCATCGCCATCTGCCACAAATTAGGGAGTAGGAGAAATCCTGTTGCATGAGTTGGGACTTGTCTCTTGTTTTTCATGATTTTGGGCGTTCTTAGCCTTGTTCGTTTTTCCATGTCGTTGCTTCTCCGTTCTTTCTTCTACCCCGCTTCTCCTAGTGATGAGAAAAGCTGTGAATTTGAAGCGGGGTTGAGGATTGAACGCTGTTCTGCTCGATGTATCCGGGAATATGGGCCTTCGTGCGCTCGTCCATTCTCTCATCGCTATTTTTGTTCAGACCTATTCATGTGTACTAACAAGTCGCTGCGTAGTCTCGCATCGTATTAAAATTGAAATAGACAAGTCTCTAGAACACATGAAGTAGGTCTGAACAAAAATAGCGATGAGAGAATGAACAATCGCACGATAGCCCATCTTTCCGAATACACGGCGCAAAAAAGCGCTCATTCTTCAACCCCGCTTCGAGTTCGCAGTGCTGCTGATCAAAAAGGGAAGCGGGGTGGAGGATTAAGACCAAAATGAGCGAAATCTGGAAGAAAAACCGTTGAGAACGGTCAAAATTCTCCAACTCCCGCCGTTCAAAACGGTGCGGGGCGGCTGCAGCGCATGCAGCACAGTTCTGGAACTGTTCCCGCACAGTTCCCGCACAGTTCCCGCACAGTTTCAGCACAGTGCGAGAACTGTGCGGGAACAGTTCCAGAACATGGGAATCAGTATGAACGCAGCCAAAGCGCACATCTCTATCAACGCTAATCATCAATAATTTGTAAATCTATTTGTAATACTTTTCATACGGTCTTTACAATTTATGTATAATTTAGAGGTGCTCTACTACATTTATGCAAAATTTGGTCCTACTTTATAGTCTTCGATTTTCTTATGATTTCATGTATGGTGGCAAAAAATGACAAAAGGGTGGTCGTATCTGGGTCGCATCTAAATTTTTCCGGAGCTATTGAAGCTTGTTGGCTGCAATTTTGCTGTAATTCGAGGCCATCCTCCTACTTTTCCTCACAAAAATTGCAGGCTGTTTTACAACTTCTCTGGTAAGTTACAAAATTTTAAGCTCAAAAACCCAGTTTCTGCTTTTTAGGATCGCATCCAAATTTTCGAGAGTCGCATCTAGAATTTTTTGAGCTCACTGCTCCTCAAGGGCTTAAACTCTTTCTATAGATAGTCTGGGCACTATGCTACAGAACCTGTTCATTGCAGCCTCTCAGTCTTTTCCTGGCCCAAGTTACGAATTTTCAAACTACCGTGCTCATGCACGTTTTTGACGTCGTTCTAGACGGCGTTGAAGCGGTTTTTTCGCAGGAAAAACTGTGGAAAAGGTAGGAAATAAGCTGCTTAGTCTAAAACATCTTTTGTAGTTCAAGAATGTCATTTTTCCTCCATGCAAAAATTTGTGTCGCATACGGGAACTGAATTTGCTGGCCTGAAGTATGCCTGAAAATTCAAAATAATACTTGCAGAATCTCAAACATTATTGAAGGTGTGTATGTGTGCTACAGATGCCCCAGTGGCCTAGAAATTCTGCTTCCGAAACCTCACTGAAGTTCTCAAGCAGGTGTTTTTTGAGATTGACATTCGTTTCTGCAGGTTACCACGAGGAATGTGGGCAGGGGAGGTAAGGGGGTAGATAGGGGGGGGGGGACGTACAGATGGGTATTTTCAAGGGGGGGGGGTCGTGAATGGGGGTCCCGGATCGCATCAACACGCTTGACCCTGGTCTGCCTACTTGCCGGCATCTTTGATGCCACCAGGTAGGGTAGATTACTACCGGCCCAGGTCACTTGATACAACATCACATCATTATCTCGACTCATACAGTTAAAAGCCCTGTACTGGTTTACACATTCTTTCTCGAAGCGCTAGTGATACAAAATGTAATTGCTTAGATGGTGTGTTATTATAGGCGACCAAATTGTAGTCTGGTAGATTATCCGCTGATAATAATGTGCCCCGGCGCCAAGATTTTGCTGCCAAATTTGCGCGTGAGAAAACAATCACTTCAGGAATGTCGACAGTTTGCGCGCGCAAGTGGCCGGCATCATAGGCGTAGCTACTCGTCGGCGCGCAAGTGTGGCCGCAACATCTCGGCACCGATATATTGGGCGAAAAAATCTATTACGACGAACATAAAATGAAATTGTGATGATAGCACGGTCACTTGAGCATTCTCTGCAACCATATTGGCTATCATCGCTACTCGAATGGTTTTTTGCATAGATATAATAGCATCAAGAAAGCAGAGTGACTGAACTGGGCACTAAAGCAATGCCTTTTGTTGAGCGTTTTAAGCTCCTGTCGGAGCAGAGACCGCAGTCAATTTCGTCATCACGATTTTAGATGCCCTCTACCTACTCAGATTTGCCCTTGTCTCCTTTATAGAGAAGTCACATCGTAAGTTATGCAGGAAAATTGGTATGTATCGCGTGTGAGTATGTGCGAGTAACAGTGCGAACATTAAAAAACAACGCGCAAGGAGAGTGGTTCCCTAATTTCCGATATACAAAGCACGCCTTGTAGGCGTGCCCGCCACATCGAACAATGAACAATGACGCGAAAGCACTTTCTGAACGAGTCTGTAACATACTCAAACTCAATGCATTGTGACTGTGTCTCATATGACTCATGTCTTCAGGTACCTCATATGTTTTTGTGCTTTTTTTATCTTCAATGATGCTACTGATTTTGCTGTGCTTCCTATTGATTCCAAGGACAGCTCTGATATTTCGACCATCTCATCTATTTTGCAGATTTGATGAGTAGAGAATGCAGAGATGTCTGATTTACAGCAAATCACAACTGAGAGGAAAACCATAATAAACGAAAACAAAAATTTGCTGTTGGGTAAAATAGAGGGGGTTTGCTGCTTGTGCGGCGTCGCACCTTCGCACGTTATAGACGTCATCGCACATTAGCTCACGCGCTGCGCCTTATATCCAGAAAAATAGGTTATCTGTTTTGCGTTATGCTCACGGGTTCATAGGTATAGGCCGTCCGCGCAGGGCGCGGAAAGTTCGCAAGATGTGCATTGCGCGTCACTCCTCTTTCCCCGTGTACTCTCGCCGCTTGTTTTCTCTGCGCTTCTTCCAGTCATGGACTATCTTTAATAGTCGCGCAGCAGCGTTGCTCTCCGTGAGCAGCGCGGACGGTATAACTCCAGTGCCCTCCCCCCCCCCCCCCATATTTGCAATGTCCATCAAAGTGATAACTCGCTTTTTTGGTTTGCTATCATCTTATAGTGATCCGCTGAATTGTCATGTGTGGAGTTGGGCTGCCACGAAAATGCAGTGAGGAATGACTTACGATGTTATAGAGCATGAAGAATCTGAAGGTAAAGAATGTTCATTCTTGCTTGAAATTACTTATTCGGAAACGATACTTATTGTTAGTGACAGTGGCCTTTTGCAAGACCTACACCAGTGAGAGCGCCCTGAAACGTTGATTTCAAGTCTATGTTCGTTTTCCGCTGTGTGACCCTCTGAACGAAGGAATTTCTTCCATATCAAATTCACAAGACCTAGGCAGTCATAATCGTCAGTATTTAGGCTTTTTAGACTCGAATTTATCGAAGACAGTTTTCTTCAGCTTAATTCAAATCTTTATTTCATCTGGACGCTCTTTTTTAGTTCGTAAGTGACTATTCCAGCGATATTGGTGAATACTGTCGTCAAAACAGTGCAAGTGGTGGCAAAGAATGTTCATAACTTCTTTTGGAAGAGCGCGCAGCAGAAACCGAAGGCACATTTGGAATCAGCGCTATAAGACGCACTTGATAATGAAGGGCCCATAGTAAACCCCTGTTCAGCGCAACTCGGCTGGGGCGGGCCCACCTTGAACGTAGAACAACTCAGTCGGGCGTCTAGTGAGCTATCGATCTGGATACGGATCGCCTCTTATACATGATAACCATGTGCGTACTTGAGAATACAACTACCCGATCACATTTGATCCAACGGCTAAGTCACTGGGATTCCGAGATTGGGGCCAACGTTCGAGACCTGCTAGTGCTAGCATTTCTGCTACTGCTGTGCAGTCTTTGATAGCGGGCACTATCGAATAATCGATGATGGCCGCTATCAGAGATATCGCATAGCAAACGAAGATAAAAAACAAGTTCATAACATTTTGGCATGCATAGCAAAAAATCACAATTTTTCAAAAGTAAATAGAAAGATAAATTTCCATTCTTTGCGTTCAAAGCGGTTTTCTGAAAAAATCAAACAAGAAGTGCAAGAAAAACAAAACATTTTTTCTCATTCCTCGCCGCAATCAGATGATCATCGATCTTCTCCCATTTAGGCCCCGAAATTGTGCAGTTTTGAACAATACCGCAATAATCCGTCAGCTAAATTGTCCCGTAAGTTACCCACGAGCAACTTACGGAAAATCTGTCTGTTTCACCTCTTTTGCGCACTATCTCTCTCGGCTCACCCTAAAATTCAATCTCGAATAAGTGCATTTTGTTAGACTGACTGTGACACTTGACCGGACAGTCTCCTGACTGTTCAATTGACTATCTTAGAGCACGGGAAGATGGGTTAGGTTAGATTAGGTTCACCCTAGGAAGTTCCCCTGAATGACTCATCTCAGGTCAACTGAGATGAATGGGGATTTACGAGCCAGGTCTCATATCAATAGGCCACAATCACCAAGTATCCTTCCCTTGTTAGCTGTCACCCGGTTGGAGAAGAATTGAAAGATCGAAAGACCAGCAACTCTATAGTTTACCTAACACTTGGTGGTCAGGGCAAGCCTTGAAACGGAAATGATCATTGGTGCTCACATATCCTCCCCAATTTTGACACTGCTTAGTGAAAAAGATATAAGATAACTTTCTCAATGGTCAGAAATCATTTAGACTCGAGAGTTTGAACTATCTATAAGGTTGGCGGCTTGCTTGTAATTGTTATCCTATTCGTGGGTAGTTGAGAGAAGTATAGCGGAGGACGGTATGCTTCTGATACCGCTTTGCCCAATGTAAGATAGGAAAACTATTAAATCAGACTTTATACTCCATTTGCACATTGTCCAAGAGCCTCAAATGACAAAATCATCAAATGCGAAAGACTGTTACTTTAAAAAAGAGGGTTTGACTTTTTCTTGCACACGAAGTTCCTCATCTTGGTATCGCAGCTCCAAGCATTCCATTGCTGAGAATGGGGTTCGTCGCTATAGAGCTAAAAACGGGCTGTTTAAGCGTTATTTCCAAGAATGAGTTAACTCAGAATAAAGTAGACTGCGCAAAAGCGAAATGGAAGAAAAGACACAGTGTATGCCTGTAGAGTAGCAAATATTTTCTTTCCATCTGTTTGCCTATGCCAGTGAATGAATCTCTATGTGAAAATTGTATACCTGTCCGCACTGTTCACGTTTATCAAAGTTATTCGGCTCGCCATGACGAAATGGTAAATAGTCAACTTTCGTGCCATCAGTCCACGTCCATTCCTTGCTACTTGGATAACTTGCTTGATGCAGGCCTATCCAGGTCGCCTCTGTGCAGAAAGATCGTCTGACACCTGCTTTTGACAGATCTAAATCACATTACAATAATTCATGTGGGAAGAACTTCACGCATGAAATGAACGAGATTACAAGATACAAATAAATTTTCTTCGGGGGTATGGATAGAAGTCAAATGTCCTCCAAGCAAAACACAAATGCTCTCGGCAGCGGTCCACTTTTGGTCGAAGAAGGTCTGAAAAGATATTCTATGATCAAAGAGCAAAAGGCTGCAAAAACTCACAAATTCGTATTTCCCCCATACAAGCAACTTCGTAGTTGGATTACTTGAAACATAGAAAACCCAAATTTTGAAACTTTTAGCCAATCTTTGTTCAACCTTCAATGTTAGCTTTGCTTTCCACCCTCATAACAAAAGGAGCAAAGAGGGAGAGTTTACAAGTCCAGATTGACACTAGCAGCATACATGAGTGAATCCGAGTTCGGATCAAGCTGCGGTAGCCTCTTAAGATTGCTAAACATAGTACGATACTGAGCATCCATGTAGTACAACAAACAGCAGTCCTCATTTCTCATTTTGAATGTATTTTTGTTTATATGGTGGAAAAGTACCAGAAAATTGATTGTACAAAGTAGAAAAGGACCTCATTTTTGAGGCCACCTAGCAAGTACGTAAAGGGAAGTGACAGTAAAGGTACGCCGCAGGGTTACTTGCTGGAGTACCTAACAGCTACTTCTCTTCGCGTAATCAGGAATGTACAACAGTTCTTTTGAAGACAGCGTCCGGGCAAAGTCTCAACCTCTATTTTTTGCCTTATCCAGGTTTCTTTATGGCGCTGTTACCAAAATACATCCAAGAAGGGTGGATCCTTCAAACACTCCTTTCTTAGAACTATTCTGTGAGGGGTATATGTCAAGAATAACGATAGCGCGATAGTGGCACCATAAGTGCCCCGGTGTCAATAAGAGGTTTCTCGGTAGCACCGCCCCAGCCAGCAGACGAGCTTACGCAGACAGTATAGCTTGTAGTACTATATGCCCAAGCGTTATTTTTCTTTGTACTTGCTTGAGTTGTAGTTTCTGATATTTTTTTCGAATGGAAATAATCAACAATGTCAGCACTGTAAACATGCATTAGTAAACATTTAAGGTCAATTCAGCATGTGAAATGTGCAAGTCACCATGACTAAAGTAGGAAGTGAAATTCAATAAAAATAAATGAATTTCCTTTCTTTCTACTCTGCTTTCTAAAAGGGTGAGGGCGGGCTCGCGAACAGCTGGCAGCTAGCGGCTGGCAGAGCTATCGTTATTCTTGAGCCCACCTCTCTGTGGACGAGTGCCCTAGGCACTAATCTCTTATTCGCAAGAAGCGATGACAGATCACACAGCATGCTTTCAGTCGTGCTCGCCATATGAAAACGGTCAGGGAGTAGGGATGTTCCATTCGAGAAGGTTGGCCTCGGAGGGGCTGAGCGGGGTTGAAGCAGCAGTGGTAAATGCGCTGAATTTCCCCTTCAAAGAGAGTGTTTGCAGGAAGGCTTGAGCGATAACTAGATCGAGGGTCTTGTGCTCGATTAGTAGCCGAGAATGTCCAAACCTACTCGGACGCTGCCTCTGATCTTCGCAATGTTAACCAGTCCGTGCCATCGACGACTCGATGGCGGGGGCCACATGATTTTGATAATAGGTGCGCTCAAGATGCTTGAGCAAGATATCGCTTTGAAAGAATTTGCCACATACCTTATAGCAAGAGTTAGTGTTCTTAAGGTAAGTCCATCCACTTTCACAATACCCATTTTGGTTCTCGGCCCTCACTGAAAATCAAACTGAAGATTGAATGAAAAGTTTACATGTCTACGTAGAAAATTCAGCATCATCCTGGCTTCGGGTGAAGAAAAGTGTAGGTACACCGAGGACAACTTCTAGAAAAAAAAACTATAATTGAAGTGCTGGCCGATTTACAGTTACGTTGTAAATAAAGTTTCCAAATTTGCACTAGTCCACCTAAAAAATAGATTATAAAGCTGTAAACTCAAACGAAGTGATTTTCAAGGACATTTAGAGTGTTCTGATGATAGCGATAGTTAACTCTTGTGTTTTGCTTGAGTCCATCGCAGATCAAGCGGACCAGCATTATGCAAAAAAATCGCGATTTGGGGTTTAGCCTCTGTATGAAGGAGTATCTCGGATGACAAAGCGTTACGAGCTTTCATGATGACAAGCTGCAGCTCGCCACTAGCAAGAAGCATGTTGTTTAACGATCATTGATCATTTTCACATCATAATGTATGGTTATCAAAGGTTCCGCCCCTTCGAGGCCGTTTTGATTCATACTTGTAGCGTGCAATGTCTCCCGTTCGGATGGAGTTCCTGCCAAAGTGGCACTGCACTAAATTGCTTTTAAAGCGGGAAAATTGCTTCAGAAGTGGTGAGTGGAGCGCCGCCACGAAATGCCCGTCTCTTGAATCTACGTCCAGATCACGTATGTCGTGCACAGTCAATGCGTAGGGTCCCAACGCGATATGTAACATTCTTTGAATTGCTATAAACTCTTCACAACCGTCATAGGAGTACGCGTTTGAAGGTAGTGTCCGGGCAAGATGGGGGTTTTGGATTCTCAGCGCCATGCAAGAGTGACCCCTCTCAGACACAACATCGCGGAAGTGCGGCGTCATAACGCTCATCCTAAAGCAAGAAAAACGGCCGGAAAGTGGGGAAACTTACGCCTTGGGGCGGGGTATTCCGAGCTGTCCGAATTCCTGCTATGCGGCAGAGTACGCAAGCCGCAACAGTCAAAATGTAAAATCCCGCAGCGACTCTGCGTCTCAGCCTTGATAGGGACCGTCAAATTTCAAATTGTAAGGCTTTGGAAAACGCATGTTCTCATCGATGTCGCGCCTTCTAATGTGGATTTTCGGATTCAGCGTTGCGAATAACCCCCGGTAAGTGAATTTTCTTGAAATCGAGTTTTTGCCCGGACACTGCCTTCAAGGGTAGCTTCATACCGCGCCGGCAGCCGCCAGCAGCCCGAGCTGCCTTGGCCCGGTTTTGCTATCACCAGTGCGTCACCTCTGCTTCGCAGAGGCTCGCACTGGCCCTACTTTCATGCCTAACTCATTCTCGCATAATACGGCATTGAAACTCACCGAGCCATGCAGGGTATCACGAATGATTTGTAAACAGCTACTCATTCCTAGAGCTTTTTAGTGTGAGGTCGGTATTTTCGCGTGGATGAAACTTTTTCGAGAAGAATTAATGCGAATTTGAATCGGTTTTCAAACTTTTTATGGCCCAATAGTCATAACGAACATAATCACCATGAGCTACATCCCTGTGCAAAAATCTTCTCAAACGATCAGGTAAAATCTTGGCAAATTGAGCGTTTATGCAACTTATTCTTTTTGGCGCCGTTTTCGTAAACTAATCAACTTTAGTTCAATTGTTTGGGTTAATTTCCATGGCTTGCACATTAGCTTGTCGAACATATCCATGACTTCGCAAAAAGTGTTGGTACTGGCCCAATTTTGCTGGTCAGAAGCCAAGTGGATCCGTTTGACGCACAATTTTTAACGGGTCCATTCAACGGATCCGCACAAACTTTTGCATGGTGAGCTTTCATGCAGGTAGCGTGCGCTATGCAAAATTTGGGCTTAGGACGTTGGCTGGAACCCACTCTACGAATTTCGTAACGGACAGACAGACACACACACAAAATAAACACCCTTAGCCCGTTATTATAAGTCATGATAGGAGCGCGAAATCATCAATTTTTTACTACGCTGGCATACGTCTATGCTTTTCTTTTTCCACGCTTTTTCCTTCCTATTATCGCCAAGATGCAGTTTGATCCCTTTCATCCTACTTGTGTTCATTGTTGTTATTATTTTGTTGCCGAACATTGCATATTATCCCATTCGTTTTCCACTCTTGCAATCTTTCTAAGAATAATTGCCAAAAGTACTTCCCCAAATGAACGTTGCGTTCCTGACCAGCATGCTCATTCATCTCCTTTCCCTGTATTAAATCCCAACATTCCAACTTGAAGTAAACAAAGCCATCGAAGACTCTGAAGTTCTGACGAGAAATAATTTGTTCGTAATTAGCAAGTTCACTTACATGTATATCACACCTCCACAACTCAAAATTTCGCTTGAAAAGCAGTTTACGACAATTTCACCGCCCAAAGTGTAAGGATGTCTCAATGAGAATGCACCCTACGGTTATGGGGCTGGCAGCTAGCGTATCATCTGGGTATTTTCTCATGCTTTGACACGATCAAAGGCAGCGTACAGATCTGGACCTACCGGGATTCCACTTTGAAAGTAATTTTGGGGCCGAATAAGACACTGGGTAACGCAAATGATTCTTTCACGGCTGAGATATTCGCCTCCAAAATGGACCCCATGATATTATTAACGAACAAATTGCATCGTGTGCTTGCATGCTTCCGCCGAGAACCCTCGCATAAGTGACTCGTCTTCACATAAAACTACTAGCTTGCTGACCCGGCTCCGCTCGGCCCCTGTCAAAACACTGTAATAAGGTCTCATCCCTACCCGTACAGCCTTTCCCTGTGCCCACTTCTACACTTTATTTCCCGTTCCCTGTGTTGTTTTCGAAATCAGCATACCCACTTACCACCTGCGCCAACTCCCAGCCCTGTAGCTCAAACTTTGCAAAAAATCGATAGAATCGATAAAATCGATATCGTTCTTAACGAAAAGTAGCCTATGACACGCTCCCTGCCCCGAAGTGTAGTGTGCCAAGTTTGGTCCAAATCGGTTCAAAAGAAATTTTTTTATTCCGCACATACGTACAGACTGCATGCATACAAACACACATTCTGCTTTATATATAAGATGCGAGCATGAGGCAAGTCGTCCGTTAATGCGATACTGGGGTTTGGTTCGGAGGTGAAGATCTCAGTAGCGATACAGTAGTACAGCATTTGAGCTGAAGCTTGGGCGGGGTCTTGGTAAGGTCCCTAAATTACTTTCCATGTGACATCCCCATATGTTCAGATTTGCCTGGACTCCGCCTTTGATGCAAGCTGTAATGTCTAGGCAAGGCTGAGAATTGTGGGTTTAGTGTCATGTAAAGTAAAGTAGCGAAATTACAGCTTTTGATGTTGCGCGGGTGCATCATTTTACCAAACTACTTTTACAATCCAAACTCCTATTTGATCGTACTTATCGTAAAACAATCGCAAGATTCCGAAGATTTTGTCTAAGTTTATGAAGCTTTTCATCCTTGTAGTTCTAACGAACTCTATCAAAGCACAACCATATATCGAAGTTATGGCGAAATCTATTGATTTAGGCCATACTCATGAGCAAAAGTAGTATAAGATTTTCTTATTAACAGCCTGTGCTGAACATACAAGGTCATACCACTGAGCAAACGAAAATCGAGATGGTACCATCTCACCATCAGTAGCTTCGTATTAATGGTTATATAAGCAGCGAAAACATGTACTAATATGCACTACTGACCAGAGAGATGTTATTTCTGGTGCTTTTCTTCCTGCAATGAGTTTCAACACATGTCATTAATTTGTGTTAAGTCATATATGTGATCTAGGCAACAGCAGTCATCAAAGATATTAGAACTTGTTCGAAATTGGATAATCGGGACATAGAAATCAACGTAATTCTTCCTGCCGTGAATTTCAACATATGTCATCAATTTGCGTTAAGTCATATATGTAATTTAGGCTACAGCACCAGTCATCAAAGATATCAAAACATGTTTGAAATTGGATGCTCAAGGCATGAAATCAACGTAGAAGTGTTTTTACTTACCAATATGGTCAGATTATAGAAATACCAGTTATTCGACTTATCACACTTTCAATAAAGCTATAGGCTTGGATTTGCAAGCGCAATAAACAAAAAGACTATTTTAATTCTTTCCTTCGCAGTCATTCTGCTGCGAGTGCACAAAAAGCAATATCTTACTACAAACGCAATATAGCAGCTAGCAGAGGATTTACTTCGGTCGAAGCTAAGTTTGTGCAGTTTTTAGTTTGCCATACTTCCTTCTACAAGAGTGAGATCTACCCTTTTATAGAGGATACACGTTGGACAGTGGCGTACCGAGGGGGGGGGGCGAGGGGGGGCGCCCCCCCCCGAGAACGGGTCGCGAAATTTCTGGAAGTTACTTACATGAGTTATAGAAATGTGCAAGTGACTTGTTTATTTTTGTAAACAATTAAAATAATTTTTTAAATTTTTCAAAAATTCAAATTAGCCTTATAACAAATTTTTCCGGGGTTGTCTGACGCCAGCACCTTCATTTGAAAAAAATTCTTGCCGCCCCCCCCCCCCCCCCCCCCGAGCCGAAATCCTGAGTACGCCACTGAAGTTGGATCAGTTCGATGTCGTATTGGTAGTTATGGATAAGGTGAAAAGTTAGCTTTCAATTTTATTTGAGTGCGTTATGCATAAAAAAGATCTAGAGAGAGAAGCCAGTATAAACAGATCTCAAGTAAAAGTTTACATTCTTCCATAAATATCGAATTGTCTCGGTATGCTTTTTATCATTGAGTTAAGTCGCGCAGTTTCAGTCTCTCCTTTCACTTGCCACATATACTACTACTCCTTTTACAGTTTTTTTTCCCTCAGCATCAGTGTGTCTAGAGCAAGGCAAGAGAAGAAAATTTCGAGTGTGTTGACAGCTACATATTCCAGATGTGTGTAAACGATATTACGCCTTAGGCATACCTCACGCGATTCGGCCGGATCGCCACTTTCACTCAACTTGGCGTTTTTCCAGATTTCTATAAATTTATCGTGCGCGCTTCTCGGATGCATAT